TAAACCTCTTTAGAGCCTGCAGGGAAAGCCCACCGGCTCTCCTATGGCTCACGTAGCTGCTCTTAGCTCAGTTGGATGGCTTGGGAAACTGTGGGGAGAGAAGAAAATCAACTGGTGTGAGGACACAGAGCGTGTTGGCTGCAAAACGTAGCATCACACCCCAGGGCTGCTGGGTCTCAGCTGACCACAGCCCATCCTGTCTCCGCTGCATTCTTACACAGCAGAGAAGTCCCTTCCTAGTCATTAGAGAAAGCAGTCAGCAACACCCCATTAGCCCGAGAGGTGATCTGGCTGGTTTGCTGCTCCACAGGACAGATTCACCACACTGCACATGCACTCTTGAGCCAAAATGACAGCACTGAAATGTGCTGCAGTCACATTAACTCTTTCTGTGCTGTATGGGCTTCTGCAAGACCTCCTGCCTCACTCAGCAACTGCATTAGCCAGGGCCTCCGTGGGTGGTAGGGCTGCGGCCTGAGCTGAGGGACAGGAGCGAAGCCCTGTGCTAGTACTGCAAGAAAAATGTGATCCAGGCTTTGCTCAGCCCTCATTGCTATGATCTTCAGGTGTTTCACGAGCACCACGCATTTACTTCTGTACCCTGTGCAGCGGGTGAAGTATCCCACTTCATGCACGAAGACTGAGGCCCAGAAAATAAAGCCCTAAGTCTTATCTTTAGACACCCAGTCTGATGCAAGTACTGCCCGATCTTTTAGCACTTTATAATATCTCATCTGCTCAGAGCAGCAATCCCTCTGACTTTGGTTGTGAGCGCATATGCCCATTGTTCATCTAAATAAATCCCAGGGCCTCTCATTTTGGGCACGGAGAAGATAAGAAACAGGTAGCACCCTGTGATAAGGATGTTGGCACGTGGCTGTGCAGTGTTGGGGGGGGGGCAGAGCTGCTCCCCTGCATAGGAGAACCCCCCTCAGTGCTCCTCACCTGCAGATTGCTGCAAGGCCAGCAGTCACCCCCTTATTGCACAGCCTAGCTTGTTCCTAAAATCCTGCTTGCCCTGGTACAGGATGAGATGGGGAGCCCACAGGCAGAGGTGAAATGCAACCATCCCATTCATGGCTCATTCAAAAATATACACTCAAAAGGGTTAAGCTGCTGTTAAATTAGGCAGCCTTATTTCTGGCATTTGCTGAATTTCCCAGGCTTTGCAGTGGCACTGTTTGTTCAGCTTCTGACAGAGGGCTGGGGAGCGCTGCAGGCAGGCACCCCGCTACCCACAACTGGCACGGCTCCCATGGGGACGGCCCTGTGTCAGCGCCTTGGAATTCAGCTGCATCTGGCAGACTTTTGCGCACCTGGAAACGGGTGTCTGTGCTGTGTGACCTGCCGGGCTGTGCACTGCTACAGCCCCTCTGCCCAACAGCTTCTTTTCAATGGGGGAGAGACAGCACTGTCCCTGCTCCCTTTCGCCATCACCATCCAGGCTGGCTTTGTGGTGCCGGGATGCGGCATGCTGGTAGCAGGCGAGTGAGCAGTGCCCTGCCGTGCCGCAGTTTCCCTCCCCGCCAAGCAGCGAGCACGCTCGTGCCCCACTCCCTGACCTGGCTGCCTTGTGTCCCTGCTGTTCCCAGATTGCAGCACGGAGGAGTCCTCCCCAGCTTCTGTGAAAAGCAAGTACGAGACCATGGATTTTGACAGCTTGCTGCAGGAGGCCCAGCTAAGCCTGCATCGGTAACAGCCTTAACCTTGGAGGAATACCTCAATACCTCAGTCAAGGCACTTCCAATATGTTTACGTTTTCAAAGAAATTATTCAGTCTATGGAAAGCGAGAGAGAGCGAGAGCGAGAGCGAGCACGCACGCGCGAGAGAGAGACTGCTGTCCCTTCCGATCGATGTTTACATTGAACAAAGCTGCTTCTGTCTGTGAGTCCCCATGGTGTTGATGTCTCACTGCCACACGTTAGTCCCCC